GGCACACGGGCGCACATGGACACACACGGACACCTCACACGGGTACCGCAGACACACGCGGACACACGCACACAAGCACACGGGCACGGGCGCGCACGGGCACACATGGACACGAGGAACCACACGGACACGCGGACCCACAGGGACCCACGCATGAGCACACGCGCGGCTGCCGGGCTCGCACAGACCTTGCGGGCGGCGGGGGCCGGGCGCGGTGGCAGCTCCGGCGGCGACGGCAGCCGTGGGACCTGGATGGAAGAGAAGGATGAAGCTCCGGGGGCACCTTGTGGAGGGAGCGGCGAGTAGCAGCAGCGGCAGCAGCTGGRCGCGGAGGGGACCCGGGGTTACTGTAGCTCCCGAAGTGCGGGTCCGCCTGGGAAGACTCGCCTCCTCCAAGTGGGAAGAGCCTCTTCCCAATCTGCTACTTAATAGAGGGCTGTTCCCGACTCTCAATTTACCCTCGTAAGCGGTTACGAAACTGCAGGAGAGGTGGCTGGCTGCCACCGGATGATATATGCGCGCTCCCCTGCTCCAGCAGAGAAGGGGATCCACTTCTGGAAACTGGCGCATACCTCGGCGCATTCCTGCGGCATGAGGGAGGGCAGCGGCCGGCCCGCCGTGCCAGCGACCACCCCGCCGCCCCGACGCGGCCCGGGGGGATCCGGCGGGGCAGCGGCGGAGCGACAGGCTCGCAGGGGCGGGCGGCGGAGCAGGGAAGTCCCTGGGCAGACCGGCTGCACGACCCCCCTCAAAAAAGCACCCCGTCGAGTAAAGGCACGTCACCCTCTGGAGCCCACAGCCATGAAAYACCCCCCTCCGGTACCGTCTGGCCTCACGCACAAGCGCCCCCGAGGCCGGGCCGGTGCCCCCAGCCGCTGCGCGGGGATCGGGCGGGGAAGGTGCGCGGCCCCCGGCTCCGCAGCAGCGGGAGATCCGCCCTGCCCCGCAGTGCCTCCCAGGGCAGCGTCGCGTCTCCCGAGGGCAGCCTCAGCCCTGGGGCAGGCGGGGAACGCGGCACGAGGCAGGTCCCCCGCGCAGGGACCGGGGGCCGCCCTCAGCACGGTGCCCCCGCACGAGGGGATGGCAGAGGCGGCTTCGCTACACGCTCTTGGCAGGGCCCCCTCGCGACGTCCCCTTATTAAAACGCGGGGTTTCACCGCTGCAGGCAGCAGCAGTGCGAACTGAGAGACGAGCAGTAAAGACTGCGAAAAACTGAGAGTGAGGGGCAGTAAAAAACGGGGCAAACGAAACAACCCCCCGTAGGTGCCAGGCGCCCCGGGGGTCGCCGCACTCCTGCGCGGCGTGCGGCCGCGCCGTCGAGGCCGCGGAGCGGTGTGCGGTGCTGGTGCAGCGTGCGGTGCGCAGCGCAATACGGGGTGCAGTGCGCGGTACGGGGTGCATGGTGCAGTGCGGGTTGCGSGGTACGGGGTGCAGGGTACGGGGTGCAGGGTACGGGGTGCAGGGTGCGAGGTTGGGTGCGAGGTTGGGTGCGCGGTGCGGCGGCGCCCCCTGGCGGCGCGAGGCGACGCACGCAGGTGAGCGGCGCTGCGCGGGCCCGCGCACAGCCCCCAGGCACTGCCCGCGGGACAGGGCCAGGGGATCGTGCGCTAATTATTCAATTAATTAAGGGGTAAAGGGGATGGAGGAGGGGCTGCTGTGGTGCTCTTGGGAGAGGTAGTGTGGTTGGTTTGTGGGGATRTATTGGTCACGAGCAAGCAGCTCGTGTCCTGCAGATCCTGCGGGATCGGCATTGCTGCTGATGGAGGCCTTGGCTCCCAGCCCCAGTGCTGTTGTCCCCATTTGTGCCGTGGTCCCGCTGCCTTCGTGAGAGCCCCAGCGCCCAGCGCCCTGGAAGACGTGCGCTGACGTTCCCAGAYGCTTCGGACATGAGTCAGCTCCTCTTAGGGACGTGCCACAGTTTGGTCTGTCTGGTCTTGATAAAATGCACTTTCCAAAAGACAACGTCTCCCCCACTGATAAACTTTCAAATTCTCTTGACCTGTTAAMCCCCTGCCTGGCTTTTGAGCCGGATTTCCCTTCTAGCTTTTTGGAACAAAGAAGCCAGTTTCTGTCTATGCAGATCTGAAAGGCGAAGGTGCCATTTCTGAAGCATAATTTTTGATGATTCTGTATTTTAATGTAATGTCTTGAGTGAGCATGCCAAGAGCAGTGGTATAAATTTGGTAGATCAGTGGTGCATTTGGTACATTTTTAGAAGCAATAGACATCGAGAAGTACATTAAAATATCCTTCTATGGCAAATGAATTGATATAAATATTTACATCACTTGTGCGCCAAAACTATTTTGTTTTGCTTTTTAAATGTGCTTTGGATTTTGCTATCATACTTTGACCAAGAATTWATCTTGATAATACTAATTAACGCGTATGCTAAGAAAGAAATGCAGAGTGTTCTATTCTAAAATAAAAGGTAAAGAATTTGGAAAATTTATTTTGAAATATCTGAAGAATGTGGTACGAATTCTGCAATTGGGATTGCATAAGCAGAGGCTRTCTATAATCAATGGGTCTCTCAAAGATACAAAAATTTGCCCTCATAAWCTTTTATAGGACTAATGCTAATATGGGCTATGTCCTATGCCTCATAGTGACTGGCTTTGCTGAATTTCTTGGAGTGAAACCCRGCTCAGAGGCAGCAGAAGCAAATAATTCAGTGACTCCAAGGAGAGAAGGGTTTCGTTCTTGTCTTCAACTACTTGTTCCAACCATTTCATTTTCCCCCACCCCTCCCAAGATCTTCTACACATAAAATATGCYGAAGAAATGCATTTAGAACATATGCTCCCATATGTCACAGTAATTAAAAGGCAAAAGAGGTTGTTTTTAATCAGCACTGTTGCTATGTACATTTGGAGTCTGAGTGCATAGTRTGTGATGCAGAAGGCATTTCTGTAATGCATAAACATTTACTAACACTCTCCTGTCTGCTTGTTTCTTAGACAAGTGTTAAACCATTAAGACCATGCACTCCAGCTTTGCAGTTCTCTTTCTTATTTAAACTGAATCATTTGAAACATTAATGAAAAAAATCAATATAATATTAAGGACTTGAAATTATACCTATACTTTTAATAATATTTCTCATTTCTTGTACGGATATGTGGGAAGAATTTTGCAGGAATTTCTTACAAAATATGAAAAATTTRGTGGTCTAAACCAAATTAAACCGCTTTCTGGCTCCCCTTTGCCTCTGGTACTTTTTTCAGTTTCCCCAAACTGTATTTCTAAGGAAAAACAAAAGGCATTGAAAAGTAAAAGAGGACATTCTGCATTGTAAAACCTTGGATATCCTTCCCATGTGGCTATCACATGAAATCTGACCTCTGTGGTTTCCTGACAATGGCATCTGCTTTTCATATGTATATCCCTTATGTATATACGTACATGTGCGTATGCCTTACACAGAAGAGAAAGCCAACAATGTGTCATCTCTTTAAGCAGTGAATGGATTTAGCTTTAACTGTTGTTATACAGACAAAACTGTGAGTCTACCAGCACGTTACCTACATCTACCCAGGAAGTACTTTGCTGGTCTGTCACTGCAGCATTATCTGTCACTCCCATGTATCTACATCAGACACTGGCTTAGTAGGGGCATTCAGAGGACCATTCAGTCCTTACATCACAAAGGATCATCTTTACAGTATATTTTTTTCTTCCTTTTAAAATCAAGTCATAAAGCTAACAAAATGCAGAAATAAAAAATAAATTTAAAAAAAAAAATAAATAAAGGGCCTCTTTGCTCAGGCCCTGCCTTCTGTGGCAGGTTTCCAGTCAGTGGCATGAGAGGAACTCAGGCTGGTGTTTATTTATTTGGGTAATTGCATTTTGGGGCCGTTATTTGGAGAATAGTACTAGCTTGACCTCTCGTTATGAGGAGCAGCTTCCCATATTAACGATGTGCAGCCAACGCTGGTCCTCTTTGAAATCTAGTCATCTGCAGGAACTTATATGGAAGCAGTGTCCTTGGAGAGCATTACAGCAGTGAGAAGGTTATCCATATAAACAGGTGCATTTTCCTTAGTAACTGTTTATTACTGTACTTTAAAATCTATAACTGATTTTCCCATCATGTAATGTGCTGCGAGTTAAAAAGTCATGGCTCCAAATAAGCAAAACTGGAAAAGTAAATAAAGCATTTGAGAACAGGGCTATAAATAAAAAAGAACTGGCCTTCTAATGTGATTTGGGAGTCCTATTAAAAAAACTCTTCAATTTTAGACTATCTTTTCTTTTAATAAAAGATTGAATTTTTAATATTAAAATTAAAAAAAAAAAAAAGCAGAATTAGAGGCAGCAATTATATATGTCCACACAAACATGCTCCATATTAAAACACTCATGAATTACATTGCTTTGATTCAAAGAAGCTGGTTTATCTTTCCCCAACAGATTTCCAGTCTTCTACTTGGGAAGCACTCCCCAGTGAAACCAGTACAAATTTTACTTGACTAAGTAGTGCAAAAAAAGTTTGCAGTGATGCCAGTTAAATAATTAATTTGTCTATTAAACCTACATATTTTTTTTTTGTGGAATCAAAAAATACACTTTTCCAGTGCTGATTTTGTAAGTTATAAAAATAACTTTCTTTTGTTTCCAGAGTACAATTTTTCTCTATAAATACAACCTATTTCTGTTTGGTTGCTGTGCTTATAGCCAAAATGTGGACACGACAAGAATCACTGAAGACGAGTTATTTTCAGGCACAAGAAAGTGGCTTCTGAAAACAGGCTCTTAGCACTAGGATACMAAAGAACATGGAGGATTTATACTGTGTACCCCTTTGAGGTCTCAGTGTACTCCTAATGATTGGGGATGGGCTAAACTGCTGCTCAAGATCTTCACCATCCTCACTTGCTGTGGTCCTGTGTGTTCCTATCAGAGTCACTTGTGAGAGTGCTCAAGCCAGTGGGTATTTGCCTCACTGAAGGGACATGAAATTTGGGGCTGCTGGGTCCTTCACGGCTTATCAACCTCCTGGGAAAGGGGCATATCCAGACCTCAGCAGAAGCTGAGTATTCCTTCTTGGTGGCTTCTTTCCAACTCGCTTCTCAGCCAGGGAAATCACAGCATCCCTGCGCAGTCAGGGCCTTTAGTGCCTGTTGGGGACCAGCAGCATTCAACCAAATGGCAATGTTTTCAGCCTTAAAATCCCCYCTGCACCATTACTTATTCCACTGTGATAAAAATG